ATTTTTTTTTTTTTTTGAGAGAGGGTATGATATTGTCTATACTGGCTCTGAGGGGTTTGTGCAGCACTGGAGATTGAACCCAAGGCCTTGGGCATGCTCAGCAAAAACTCCACCTGCTGAGCCACACCCGCAGCTGTCTCCGCCTGCCCCCTCCATATTTTCTAGTTTTTGTTGTCTTTGTTTTATCTTGTGAGACAGGGTCTCACTATGTAGCTCTGTCTGTCCTGGGACTCGCTCTGTAAACCAAGCTGGCCTGGAACTCACAGAGATCCACCTGCCTCTGCCTCTGCCTCCCAAGTGCTGGGATTAAAGGCGCGTGGGGCCGCTATGGCTGCCACCACCACCACCCTCCCCACCCCCGCTTTCTATTCTTGTCTCAGTACACAGGCCAATGGATTTGATTCCTAAGGCTGGGAGATGACCTCTAGATCTGCAAGATCTCTGAAGTCTGACAACAATGACTCCTTCCAACTCAAAAACTCTGACTTCACAGTCCCGAGCCCAGGAGGACCACCCAGCTCTCTCCATGAAAAGGAACTGGGTCCTACGTGAACTTCACCCAGCAATTATACCCTCGCGAGGTCCGCTTGCCAAGTCCCTGTCCAAGTTCATTTAGGGAGAAGGGTATACACCAGGCAGAGCCCTGCAGGTGTGACACTGGGCGTCACCGTCATGTCTCCCACGACACGGAAGGAGCCCACCTACCTGTCGTCATCACTGTCCAGGTGACCACTGATGGCCAACATGGAACGAGCCAGGCTGAGGCTCTGGGCTGCTGCGGCTCCAAAGGGGTCTGGAGACTTGTGGACCAGGCTGGCATCGAAGTAGAGGGCTGGGGAGTTGGGGCGGGAGTCGATCGCAGGCACCTGGAGGCAGAGGAGTGGGAACCATCACACGGGGTGAGGGCCAGGGCCACAGCTCCGTTGGCAGAGTGCTAGCTTAGCATACCACAGTGGGTCTCATCCCCAGCACTGAAATAAAAGGAGTGAAATGGGGAAGGGGGACACTAGGGACTCAGTTCAGCCTTGGGGGAGGAGGAGGGCAAGGCCACCTTACAATTAGCTCTTATCTAAGTGTCTTCTTCCCTTCCCACTACGCCCACCTCTTCCTAGCCCTAAAGCCCTTCCCTCTTCTAGACTTGCTAGACACAATAGGCAGGTACTGGGGGGGAGGGGAGACAAGGGGTATCTAAAAAGGACACTCCTTCTCACCCTCAGCCAGGACTCCCAATAGAGGACACTATACTTAGACAGTGAGCATCTTTTTTTCCCCCTTTTTTCTTTCTTTCTTTTTTTTTTTTTTTTTTTTTTTTTTTTTTTTTTTTTTTTTTTTTTTTTTTTTTTGGCGTTTTCGAGACAGGGTTTCTCTGTAGCTTTGGAACCTGTCCTGGAACTAGCTTTTGTAGATCAGGTTGGCCTCGAACTCACAGAGATCTGCCTGCCTCTGCCTCCCGAGTGCTGGGATTAGAGGCTTGCGCCACCACCGCCCAGCAAGTATCTTTTCTGAAATAAGGTCCCCTGTAGCTCAGGCTGACCTCAACCTATTCAGCTGAGGATGCCCTTGAACTACTTAGCTTCCTGTCTCCACCTCCCAGAGGCTGCAGCTGTAAGCAAGCACCACCAGAAGCTAGGACCAAACTCCTCTGCCTACGCTCAGGAAAGCGCTAGACTAACTGAGCCGCATCCTCAGGGCTCCTCCCCCCCCAACCTTCTTTTCTGTGAAGAGATCTCACTCTGTAGCCTAAGCTGACCCAGAACCTGCTAAGTAGGCCAGGCTGGCCTTGAACTTGTCCTCCTGCCTCCAGCCCCCCCCCCCCCAGTCCTGTGCCTCCTTGAAAGCCACTCCTAAATCAGCTCCTTACAGAGACACTTCCTCACTGCTTCCTGGTCCACTCAACAGTTTCATTTTTTAGAGCATCTAGTGGGATTCGAAAGTTAGAGGTATTTATGGTGTCTCCCCTGCTGGAAGGTGAATTTGCTCTGTGGTCTGCAGAAATGAATGAACCCTCAGAAACTGCATCCCCCCCACCCCCACCCCCACAGATGGCCTCCTCTCTCCAACTTCTAGGACTAGGGATGAGGTCCAAAGACTCTGCCTTTCTGGGGGTGGGGTGGGAGCTCTGTGAAAATGGGAAGGGAGGGTGGGGCCTGGGTATGGGGCTCCTGAACCCAACAGGCAGCAGCTGGGAGAGCAGCCGTCAAAGGACAGAGGTGACGGGAACTGGACAAGAGGCCAGAGTGCGGGGAGGGGGCACCGTCGCCACTCACCCCTGTCCTCCTCAACTCCCCCCAGTTTTGAGAGACCATGGGACCAAATGAGGGACAAGGTCTGAGGCGGGGAAAGGGCGGCAGTTACAATCAGACAGGAAATGATCAGGGCAGATTGGGAGGAAGGAAGGGGGGTTGGGGGTACTGTGGTGACAGAGACAGGGTCTACAAACCTAAAGGAGGCTCAGGCCAGGCTTCAAAGTAGAGCAAAGAGGGCCGTCGAGAGGGCTGAGGGAGTAGAGGGGCCTGCTGCCAAGTCCGACAACCTGAGTCTGATCTCACACAGGAGATACATGGCGGGAGGACTGACCTGACCCCCAAGTTGTCCTCTGACCTCCACGCACATGCCAAGGCATGCATGTGCCCACACACGCTCACACATAAATTAAATAAAAATAAATACATGTAATGAAAGTGGTGTAAAGAGCCACAAACTTGCCCTAAGAGAGTAGGGGCATGGTCCAGGCCAACGGCAGTTTATCCAGGAGACCCCCCCCCCCAAAAAAAAACCCATTTCAGAAAGATGGGAAGTTTCGGCGGTGAAATGGCAAGCTGAAGGCCAGGAGAGGGTGGGAGAGCTGGTCTTAACCAGTTCTAACAAGGCTCGGGCTCAAGATATTTTTACACTGTGGTTTGAGCCCATGGCCAGGAAAGGACAGAACCTTCAACCTCACACCCCAGCCTCCTCCTGGCAGCCAAGGTGTTATTTTTCTCCACAGCAGAAACATCCAACTCTTTCTCTCATCCCTAAGTATTCGCCCAACCTCCTACACACACACACACACACACACACACACACACACACACACACACACCAGGGAGTCAGGCATCCTGCCCCCAGCCCAGACTTGCAGGCAGCTTCCTCTTTTGGAGACAGGAAGCAGAAACAGAGGATTTAACCCCTTGCCTCCTGCTTCCCCACCTCCCACCCCATGGTTGCTGAGGTCACCCCATCTGTCACTCCTGGAGAAGGCCAGGTGCAGGGTACTGAGATGACTTAAGAGAGATATGTGCTTCCCCAACCCCAATTCCTCAGAGAAACTGCAACAAGGCAAAAAACGGGGTGGCTGGTGGGAAGAATAAAGACCCAGAGGAATGCCTACCTTTTATGGCTGCCCCAAAACCCTGCCAGCTCCTCCCCCCTCCAGCGCCTAGCCAGTCACCCAGCGGAGCCTCCACCCTCATCACCTGGAGCCAGAGGAGGGAAAGGCTCAAGTGGGCAGGCCACATATGCCACAGGCTTTATGGAAACAGTCAAGGCCGAGGGCAACAATTTAAAGGCCAGAGAGAGAGAGAGAGAGAGAGAGAGAGAGAGAGAGAGAGAGAGAGAGAGAGAGAGAGAGAGAGAGAGAGAGAGAGAGAGA